TATGAGGGACAGCCGGAGCAGGGAAGGAGTCGGCGTGCCAAGCGGTCAGGACTATCGCTGCCCGCTGACTCGCAAGGCCGAAGGCTGAGTCTGCGGTGAGGCAGGCGAGGCGGTGCTGAGAGCCAGGGCACCGTGCAGGGTTCCTCACCATTCCCTGAGGCTCAGCCCTTGGGTCTTGGCTGAGTTTTACTTTTTAAAGCTGCCCCCAGAAACTCAGGAGGCTGTGGGTGAGGTGGATGTGGTAGGGCAGAGTGAGAGCCCCCAGCTTGCAGAAGAGAGCGGTCTGGTGGCCGGGGCCTGCCGAGGTGAACGTGTGCCCTATGATGGTCCCCAGCTCCTTCGAGGCTTTCACCCATCCTATGCCCCCAGCTCAGTCCCACCTCCCGTCCCATAGCCATATAAACTCATGCTTTTGGGGAGGTGCCCAGGCCCTGCTCTGCTCACATCCCACGCTCCGGGCTCCATTCTCCACCAGACGGTGCAAGCCTGGAAAGGGCTTTGTGCTGGGCTTGTGCCAGCATGGCACTGCTGCTTCCCTGGGATCTGAGCCCTCCAGCCCCACGGGGCTCACAGTGCCTGTTTTACCATGAGCCAGACTGCATCGTGTCCAAGGGCCCACCCGCCCCAGCCCTCTTGTAGCGCTTTGCTCTTCAGCGTGGGGAGCTCTTATGCAAACCAAAGTTTGCCTGGAAAGGGCTTTGTGCTGGGCTTGTGCCAGCATGGCACTGCTGCTTCCCTGGGATCTGAGCCCTCCAGCCCCACGGGGCTCACAGTGCCTGTTTTACCATGAGCCAGACTGCATCGTGTCCAAGGGCCCACCCGCCCCAGCCCTCTTGTAGCGCTTTGCTCTTCAGCGTGGGGAGCTCTTATGCAAACCAAAGTTTTATGCTGCTGTCAAGGCAAAGCAATTTTGCAGAGAGAAATTTATCTGCCCAGCCCAGATGGCGCGCTGTCCTCAGGGGACAGCTCGGCAGGCTGGGTGAGCTGGAGGCCAGGCTGCAGGGAGCAACAGCCCCATGTCAAAGGGTGACTGCTTGAGAGTAAAAGCAGGACATGGCACACATCTCTTTCTTCTGTTGTCCCTTTCTGCCTCCCCACGAGAAGAGCCCCCTGTCTGGGGGGCCCTGCCAGGACCCCCATCCTCTCCCGGCAAAACCCTATGGCAAGCATCGA